TCTATTTCAGAAATATAATTGTTCATTGACAACAAAGAACTTAATTGAACTGAATTGAATGCGTTCTTTTTAAGTTTTAGTTTAATTTTTTGATGAATTATTTAAAATATGAGTACAAATCGAAAACTTCACAAATCGATCTTTATGTGCATAAATTTATTTTTAGATCAACAAATCCGTGATAGTGCCGCAGTTTATTAGGAAAATAGAAACATATTACACAATTGTCCATAAACGACACAGTTATTTATCAATTTTAAAACCTTTCTTCAAGTTTCGTCGCAAGACGAATGACTTTTTGATAGCAAGGAGTTGAAAAATAATTTTAAAATTTAAAAATTGTATCAATTGTATGTTTTCCTTTAATTTTTGAAGAAGTTTTACAATAAAAAAAACTGTGAACCCCCTGCTGAACGCTTGATCTAAAATTTGAAACTTTTTTGGAGCTAGTAACTCGGTGCAGATTAAAGGATGCCAGCTAGCCTATGTTCAAACAATTACTCAATTACCAGGTCGAAAAAAAATCAGTCAATTATTAAAAAAAAATTACTGCTTTTTACTAGTATTGAGAGAAAACGAATATTAGTTAAAATCACATCCATCGTCCGAATATAGCTTCAGCGGTTATATTGCTCCATATATATAACCAGCAGACTCGGCCACGCGTTGTTGTGGCTTTCTGGATTTTGTCAAACGATAAAAAGCCCTTATTAAGTATCATATAATACTAAGTTTTGAGCTTTTATTGTATTATATTATTGATCTGGCACCGTATTTTTTTGTGCGCGTCGCTTGTTATCTACCTGAAGTCTATCAATAAGTCAATCAATCAATAAGTCTATCAATAAAATGTATAAGAAGGATTTCAAACTCCCAACTGCGGAATAAAAACAAAAAAAAATAAAATAAAAATAATTTAGATTCATTAGATGGAGTAGGGAGTAGTGATAATACAACGTTTTCTGATGCTCAACACATGCCGGGCGTTTCATTATTAAATCTTAACGCCTGACAATAATTGAATACTTTGCCCACCGCACTAATGGTCTGTCGAGTAATCGATGTCTGGTTCATAATTAAATACAATTCGAAGAAATGATCCACGGATTGCTGTGCGGTTGGGCCGATGATTTTCTCGGATTTGTTTCTAAATGAATCTATTTGTTGTTGACCGCCACCCTGGTTCTCAATATATTTTCTTGTTGACAATTATCATGCTGTTCTCGTGATCCTCGTGCACGAGTTTCAGCTGCATATCGAATATTCTTGCTACGGCCATTAAGGTCGGCTTTTTTTACTGAAAATAGCAATTGAATTTTTAATGTGAATGAATTTCGCTTTTCTCATATTTTGTAGATTATACATTTGGCTGTTTTTATATAACTTTTAGAAGCAAGTGTATATGTGTGTACTCTAAGAAATCGTGGCGCCATCTTTGAGGTGCAAAGGACAATGGCTTACAGCGCTCTGTAAAGAAATTCGCTTAAGGCGCCATCTGTTCCAGACTTTCGGAACCTACGATTAATAACAACAATCAACATTGATGACCAGTTTTTAACTAAATATTAATTATTGAGACCATTAATTTAAATAATAACATCCTATCATCTAAGTTAGACCAAATAACTTATGTATATGTATATGACAACTTGCGGCCGCAATAGCCGAGTGGTTAGCATTGCGTACTGCCATTCTAATCCTCGTACGACCAAGATCCAATAGTTATAGAAAAGAAAATTAATTAAAATAAAAAAAAAAGTTAAATTTTCTAATTGGTGTCGTCCCTCGGTAGGAAATGCCTACCCCTCCGAATGTGTTTTTCGAGGAGTAGCTCGACCGAAAATCGCTTCACCGGTTACAAAGTGCCGAAAATAATTATATATATGTCAACTTTCATAAGTATCAGTTGAGTCGTTTTCGAGTTATTTCGGAACGTACACACGGGCACGGATTTTTATAAATTAAGATATATACATACATATATAGGTTAATAAGTATATACATACATACATATGTATGTTTGAATATAATATTATTACTACGCGAAAATAATTAATTTCATATTAAAATAAAAAAAAAATGGGTGAGATTTGAATGGTTTGCATCTCTTCCATCCCGCTGGCATTTAGTCATAGAATTCTTCCACAAGCAAGAGTGTAGTTTCACTTAACTCCATTATTCCCCATAGATCGCGTCAATGAATTTTATTATGCTTTGTGTAATGTGATTTTTCTTCCATTGTTTTGCTCTCAACACAATCCAAAGCTAAAGTTGTGCTGTATGTGTGAAATAAACTCTATGTATCACTTCTATTTATATAAATATATATATTTTCCGTCTCAATGTTTTTCCGAAAAACCTACAGTTTATACTAAGCCGCTTCCGAACGGCTGATGGTTCTTTATGAGGAGCTTATTTCGTGTCAAAGGGGCGATTTGAATCCGGGTCCTCCGAATTGCAGTACATAGTGCTAGCCACTCGGCTACCGCAACCGAGTTTAGATTTTGGTTAACTAACAGTATATATAAATACATATCTATTTGTCTAGAACTAAGTGATTTAGTGTAAAAGAATACATTCACCCCGGTGTGAAAGATCAAAAGCATTGAAAAACAACTGTCGCAAATAGAGCAATCGCAATTAGGAGAACATTTCAATTTGTGTGTCAATATTATTGATTGAATTACCGCCTTCCTGTTATGTTGGTAAACAACCTACACACCCCGCCCCTTAATGTGTGCATACATTTCCTTATTACGTATTGACTCGTATGTACGTATCCATGTATACATAATATTTTACAATACATACATACTTCTTTAAATCAGTTTTCATATCCAACAACAACTAGCAGATAAGTTCAAAATTTGGATGCTCTCACCATAATACTCAGTTGATTGACTAGCTTAACTTTGGCTACCCTCGCATAGCATGGAAAAATATTTAATTTAAACAAATTTAATGTTTACTTATTCACGCATGCATTAAATAGAGGGAATAAGATTTGAACTTCAAATATTTTTCAGGTAATTTAAAAATAGGGAAGTGACTCAGGGCAAAGTTCAGGTAAGCCGGTTAATTCACGCATAAGGAAAATTAATGTTTGTATGTATGTATGTATGTTGGGAGTTTTGGTGTACTAATATTTGATGGAATCTGGGTTCTGTTTTAAACGTTTGTTGATGAAATGCCATATGTAAAAATATAAGGTTTAGTAAAATGGCATTCTTTATTTTTGCAATAGATGTCTTTAGTTCTCTGTATCTCGCGTTCTATAAGTGTGATTGGATAGCGCTTGGGGGTAATTTTAATGTAAAATATACTCTACGGTGCGGAAAGTCATATATATATAATTCGCGCTTTGTAACCGGTGAAGCGCTTTTCGGCCGAGCTCCTCCTACAATTAGTGGGCTTGCGTCTTAATTTTTTTTCAACAAATGGAGGGACCTAGAGATTATACTGATGGTTTTTTTACGAGAAGCTTTATTTCATGTCCGAAAGACACTCGGAGGAGTGGACATTCTCTGCCGAGGGTTGAGCGCAGTTAGAAAATTTAACTTATTTTTTTTTATTTAAATTAATTTTCTACAACCTTTAGGTGTTCGTGGCAAAGGGATATGAACCCAAGCCTTTCAATATCTAAGACAGCGTCATCACCACCATGTGGTCACATTCTAGGACTTCCGCTTTCTTCTACCATGCAGTCCAATACTGCCTTTCCTGTGACCCCTCCCTCATCCTGCCAGTTCGAACATGAATTTGCTTCACAATACACTTCGAGATTGAATAAAAATTTGCTCAAATAAATTTGGTATTTAATTAATATTTGGTGTCATTTAATAAAGCATTCATTAAGCAGAGTCTATAAACCGTGACTAATATTTGTTAACTACAATAGTAATAATTTCTCTTTAACTATTAGTCGCTCTCAAATACATTGATTTACTAGCCTTCAACTGTCCTTCCGAAAATTTAACATTTGTGACCAATAAAGTTAGTTTCTTTCTTAGTAATGTCTGAATTGTTTGGATGTATTTAGTTTTACACGTTTTTATGAATGCCATTTAAATAATTATTTTCTTTCATTGATGAAATCGTGTTTCTTAATAAAATTACAATAAGACCGCTTAATTCTATATGTTCTGATTTCTTTTTTCCTTAGCCGGAGCTGCTCACTGCCTTTAATCACAATCTCACACACATAAATTTTCACTTCAAATTTGCGTTTAAATTTCATGCGAAATCACTATTCGTAATGCTTATCCAATGCACACGGACACATACTGAGTAGAAAAAACTTTTTAAAAAACTTTCAAATCAATTCTAAACTATTTTGGCTAAAATTAATAAATATTAGAAATGAGTTCATATCTGAAAAAAAGAAATCAGTAAACACATGAATTTGTGGATGTGCGAACTAATTTAATTTCTCCCGAATTAAATCCAACAATACTACATGTTTATGGCATTGTATATTTGTTAATTTGAGTATTTGGTACTTTGCGCCCGTTGCAGATTTACAGAATTTATCAAAAATATCAAAAATACCAAATGTAATGCCGATTTATTGGGCCTATCGCGAATAGACTATTATTACAGTCTCACAGTCGCATCAGAAGACGTTCTATCTTCTGTAACATATTTTTTCAATCGCCCTCACAGCCAAATTCGAAACCCGAGTAAAGCACAAATTACCGTCCGCATTGGCCGGTTAAAGGTTTTTATTTGTTAACCATACAAACATGTAGGTCAACATTATGTGAAGGAGGGCCAATGTCGAAGTTGTGTATTCTCTGAATGGCGGTAGCTGACGGCAATGATTTCACTTTCCAACAAAGTATTCTCAACATGCGTGAAAGTGGTTAGATGTGTGTGGAAACAAAAGAAGCAAAGGGTTTGGTTAGCCCAGCTTGTTAGTGAGGACCTAACATAGCGCACTCAAAAATTTTAATGTAAATGTGTGGAAAAGGGTATCTCACCCTATGACCAGTGGCACCTACCTTGCGGGTCTGAGTGATAATTGGAGATGTTGACATGCAAGACCAAATTAGACGGCATCCACACAATTCAACCTGAAGGCAGCCTTGTTGTGGTTGCGCCTAGTGGCCGTTCAAGCTCGCAGCCAAAGGGACGAAGTGTGCATGAATTTGTGTTACACGATGTGTACGGAGCTAATTGATATGTTAATTTAGGAAATGTGTTGGACACGAACCTAGGCGAAGAATCACACGCGAAAATCACCAAAAAACGAACCCATACATAAGCGGTTATTCACTAAGCGAGTGCAACCGGACTTTTTCGGAGATAATCAGATTACGCGAACACTTTTAGCTTTGAACTTGAACTATACCGTGCAACAAAAACTTCGCTCTCGGTGACTGATAGCGTTTCGCTTAACGAAACGACGACAACTCGAATAAGGTGAGCAAATTACGCACAAAATTATTTCTAGTTCTTGGAGTCGGACGCTCGCACTGCTGCACTATGAATTTTTGCTTGAATACTTATCGGCCTGGAACCACGCACTTTCTGTGGCCATTTAATTTCACCTCATTTAATATTTAATATTCATATGCACTCCCTAACGTCTCACATGCAGCCACAGTACACGTCGGGAACTCCAAACAATTTCAGCCGTATTCACCGTTTGCTGCAAACAACGTATCCTTTGAGAAACCGAGTCGGAACTGAAATAACTTGACTGCTCATAAGTTTGCCAAGCGATGAGTCCTTCGCACGTGTTTTCACCAATGTCACCTCATTTTACAAACCAAAGCTGTGTTGAGTGTGCGCACTGCAGCTCTTTTGTTATTGAAGTTGGCACCGAGAGTACGATTTGCCTATTGATGTGCCGACAACTTCTTGTTTATGTTAGTCGACCAGTAATCTCCCGTAACGCAACATCGTGTGTTTCGCGGGCAACAAGGATGATGGTGAACTGTCTTAAAAATATAGGTTTAAAGCAAAATATTTAAATTGAATATGTACTTGGGAAAAATTGCTATAAGTATAAACTATTTTGGATGTTCCCCCATATAGATATAAAATATATATTATGAACGCTATTTCCGGCCGAACTCCTACTCCAATTTGTGGTATGCGTCTTGATGTTTTCCAACAATTCTGTGAGGAGTCTTTATTTCATGTCATAAATACACTCGGAGACGTTGACATTCTTAACTTAACTTTTTATTTAAATTAATTTTCTATAACTCTTGGGTGTTGGTCGAACCGGGACTCGAACCCCGGCCTTCCAAATGGTAGTAGGCAATGATAACCACTCGACTATGGCGACCGCTGATACTCTTTAAAATTTTTATCCTTTTTTATAATTTTAGCTTGATTCAAGTTGAGGGAGGAATCACAAAAAAAAAAATTATATTAAAAACAACAAATAATATAATATAATAAAACAATTTATAATATGATTTTAATAATTTCGAAGTTGCTTAAATAAAGTGGCAGGTCAAATGAAGAATGTTCATATATTTCATATTCCCCTTAAATCACTTGAATTTTCTCCCGACCAATTTGCATAGGAAAATTACAGGCAAGCTGCAAAACCATAACAGTAAATTCAATTCAATTACGGCGAAAACTCACAGGGCATGCCCGAGTACTGACTTCTAAACCATTCTCGAAAGACGTGAACTACACTCCTTCTATTTTCTGTTTTGACAACATTTTCTCAACAAAAAACCCAGAAAAGAATGAAAGGGAAAACGTTGCAGCTCTGGATCAAAGATCCGTTGACAGACAAAACTCTATGAACGTTACGAAGTTCATCCACCTGTAATCGACTTTATCAAGAAACTTCCCGATCACTGGGATAGGGATAGTCATAAAGAAACTCGCGACTGGATGCGAATCGACCGTGGTTCGGATTGCCGGGAATTTCGAGTCCGACGAGCTGACAAGGGGTACAATACTAACCGCGGGAAACTCTGCACATAATGCGGGCATATCCCTTTATCCTGCAAAATACCTGCCATCAATAATCTCGTGTGTTTCACACAACAAACCAAGCATCGGCATCTAGAAAGGTGAGAGGAATCTGTTAAATATCGCCATCCCTGTTAATTCGATTGTATATGGTTGTCTAAGCTTACGGTAAACAACAGCCGAATTAAAATTCATAAACAAAGTTTCAATCCTGAGCGGATAAAGCTGTAGGAGATTGGCTACTTTTCTTTTCTCAAGAACTGCTTCAAAAATTAGATCTTTGGAGAGATTCTTACAAATTTTTGAAAAAATACTTTTATATAAAGTGCTTGAGAGATTTTGCAGTGTTGAAACGGTAAATATACTAAAGATATAAACATATTGCGATAAAGAATTAAGATCCAGGAGAATCCTGCTGCTCGGAAAGTTTTTGCTTCAGTATTAGTTGAGTGTAGCAGAAAGTGATTAAGAAAAAAGCATTTTTAATTAGTTCCAGTTAGCTATAGTTGATTATTTGGAGCAACTAAAAATATAATAGTTTTTACGCGTTTTTGACCAGTTCCAAAATTTAAAATCAAATGAAAAATACTTTGCATTCTCACAGTAAGCCCATACACTTCCTGATATAATAACAAATGTGATATTATGTGCGAATGAGAATATGTATTTACATCTATGTATATATGTATATGAATATGTACAATTTTTAAAATCATAGTAAATGAAAAATAAAACTCTCCTCACGTCCGATGAATAGCACAAATTCTACTGAATTCAATAACGTATCTACGTATGCACGTGAGTTTACACGTGTGTGGTCATAGAGAAAGAGTATTTCAACTTTTAAAAAAATAATTGTATCGTAACTTTATGCAGTGAATTTAATTTAGTAGGACTCTAAAATTTGAGTTCATATAGGCACCCAAACAAAGGGCAACGGAACTGCAAATAGTAAAGGCGAAAACAAAGCAAATGGAAATACAACAAACAATAATTTGGAGCACAATTCAACGGCACATTCTCGCCACTACCGCAACAGAGTGCTCGTATTTGAAAAAGGTGAGGACAACAGCAGCACTCGTGTGGGATTGAGTGAAAAGAAAATTTTGGGCCTCATAAAATAAATAATCAAGGTAAAGGTAAATTTGAAAAACACAATTGACAGCTTTTATTCGCTCAGGAAAATAACTTTCTGCAACATTGGATGGAATTGACGTCTCGCAACTCTCCTGGGAGGACATGTCAAGAACAGGCAGTAGCAGAGTAACGCACGAACAAACATAAAGGCAGAATAACTACATAACATACAATATTGCCTACAAACAAGAACATGCATATATACCTACACATTTTTTTATCTATATTACTGACATTTATACTCATATAGATGTTTGTCTGTATACGTCGCGAAGCTTAAAGTACAACAAACCGGAAATGGAGAAGAAAAAGTAAATCAACATTTAATAGAAACTTGATTAACTTACATACATAACTTAATAAAGGTAAGATGATTTTAGATCGCAACTATGAAGATATATATGTATGTATGAAGCGAACTTCATTTGAATAAATCCTTCCTGCTTACATAAACAAGTCTCCCAAATGGAAAACATAATCAAAATCATGGAATTCTATCAGATCCTAGTTGTTTCTATTCTAGACAAATATGTTAACTAAAAGTTTTGTGTATGAAGATAGGGTCTCCGCTCACGTCAAACTATTAATTACAAATTTTAGGCGATTTACACTCAATTGAAATTAAGTTTGCATCCTTGTTGGCTTTGCTCACCTATAAAAGAGGAGTTCTGCAAAAAATTCTACATATTATGGAGCTAGGCAAGCTCGAATTTATATCAACAAACAAAAAAGCTGGAGGTTACTGCGCCCAAAAACAACGGAATTTTATAATTTGTGGCGTTGCGTTGAGATCAGTGTTTTTTTTAAATGGGAAACTTTGAATAGTTGCATGTAATCATACCAGACGTCGCAGTCAATTTGCCGCACACGGCGTTTTTGCCAGCGTGTTGACCTCTTATAGAGAATGAGAAGAAATTTTTAAAGGAAAAATTTCCTTAAATAGAAGTACTTGAAGCAGAAAGTGTCCCAAATCACTTCGCCTCTTTAATCTTAACTGTAGCAGAAATGTTCATTTTATCAGAACCGTTCATTACCTGTTTCGAGATTTACAATTGTGGGTCCCTCTGTTTGTAGGAAAAACTTGTATAGTCTCACACTGTTATACACATATGAACATATATATATTTCACGCATACGAATAAACCACCTAAGAGCTCACGACGGTGTTCGCACAAGGGGTACCCCTTTCATGGTGATTTCTGCAACCACATTGTGTTTGCCACCTGACAGATAAAAAACTAATTGGCGACTATAATACCACTAGTTTGCATTTTTACCTAAACAAGATCACCAGCACCTGGTAAATTTAACACGCCGATGTCCTACGAAATGTCTCTTGTCCAATTAATAGTCCATTTATGCACCAGAGGGCATTACAATGGAGTAAAAATTAAGAGGGGTGGTGGAAATGGATAATCCTGTCGCTTATATTGAGCTGCTCTTATTTGGTAAGAAATATAAAGCTGGTATAATTCTAACTTGAATATACTAGCCTACAAGTAGAGTTTTTACTCACTTTTAGGTCTCCACTACAAAGTAAGTATGTCAAATTGCATACATACATATTCTTAAAATATTCTAAAACAATATCGACGGCTAAAGCTTCTGCGGATATCTCAAGAACTGACTCTGCTCTTTCGATATATATGTATGTATGTTAGTTTTTTATTTGCCCAAACATACACGAAACATCGGTTTAAATTTATAATGACATTATTTCTATTCATGAGTGGTATACAATTATTTATGTATTTCCATGTTTTATACTGCATTATGTATATACATATATGCATGTGCTCTAGACACATATTAATGCATGGTTGTTTGTATACGTGTTTTTGTTGAAACTTAACTAAATACTTACTTCTCTGGAGTATACGGCCGCAAGCAAAATAAAAATGTGGCGCAAGGACGATTTGCGAGAACGAATAACGCGTGGGTATAGCATAGCGGTAAATATGTATATATGAATTTCGCAGTAAATTAATGTGGGTTAATGGGCTAATTGAGACATACAACATATAGAAAATATAGTGTTTGTTGGAAATAAAATAGCTTAAAATATACTCGTACTAATTATACAATATTTTTATATATTGTCTATGTACATATATATTATATATAAAATAATTAAGCTAGGAAAAAAGCATAAAAGTTTTTTGTTTGAACTAAGTTTTATCATGCTTTTCAACAGAAATGTTTCAAAAAAGCTCTCAGCAGCCGCTGGGGGTAGTTGGAAAGTGTCTTACGCCAAATCTTAAAAGATAGAAATGGCATTCCATCGCTTCTCGACCAAAAAATCGCCAGCGAAGCCTTCAACAATTAAAAAAAATGGGGAAAGCGATTTATATAAATTTTTTCGGAATTATTTCCCTTTTACTAAATTACACCTTCGTAAATCACAACATTTCAGTTTCTTTTATCCTTACACAGTGTTTTATTAGCTTTCAACATATATACCGATTTCTCTCTTATTCATGCATTGCGTGGAACTTGTCGTTCCATAAAAATTCCGCAAGACATTTTTATTGAGACAATATTCTATAAGAGTGTACAGCTACTGGCGTACGCCGTTGATATCGGCATTA